AAGTTCAAATTTTTAATTTTTTAAAATTTATACTTACAAATTATTAATTTATAAATAAAATGAAGCAAAACAAATATTGTACTTCTCGGGCCCGAAAATCGGTCCGAGATAATTTTTCTTCTTAATTTATTTATAAAATAATTATATTAAAATAATTATTTAATTTATTATATTTTCATTTTATTGAATTTTTGAGAAAAAATGAATTAAGTACGAAATTGAAAATAATTTTAAGAAAAATAGGTTAAATTTTGAATTCAAAAAGTGTTTTTGAAAGACAAATTAGAAATAGGGGATCAAAATACAAATAGAGAAAATTCAGCCCGTATGACAATTCAGTCAGCAGCCACGACGAACTAGGGTGTGCCACGTGACAAAACACGCTAACATCGGTGCCATGCGGGGGACCACACGGGCGATCCACGTGCTCAACAATTAGACAGCCCAGGATTGATCCGGTGCGCATGGACAGCCTAGATGCATTCCCCCTTTAAGCTTGATGGGACGAAGGAGATCAAATGCGATGAATGGATAAGATTTGACCATGCCATCAGCCTAAATGGGAAACGATCGAACAGTTCTTTTTGCTCCACGTCAACGTAAACGAACGTCACAAATCAAAGAGGAGATGAATATTTAGAGTAAATTCAGCCACGTGAGATAGTCCAGTCAGCAGTTGCGACGAACTAGGGTGTGACACGTGGCAAAACATGCTGACGTTGGCGCCACATGGGGCCCACAGGGGCGATCCGCGTGTCCAACGACCGAACAGTCCAAGATTGATCCCACGCACGTGGACGGCCTAGATGCATTCCCATTTAAAGCTTGATCGGACGAATGAAATCAAATGCGATGAACAAATGAGATTCGACCACGCCATCAACCTAAACGAAAAATGATCGAACGGTTCTCCTTACTCCACGCACGAATTGAAGAGGAGAGGAGTATTTAAACTCCTCTTCGCAGGAGAACCCAAACCCTAGCCGCCAGCCCATGCAGGAGAAGAAGAACTAGACGTTGGAGAAGAAGTCCGACCGTCGACTGTCGCCGCACCAAAGCCACCGCCGATCGCAAAAAAAATGTAAAATTTCTCCTTACCTGCTCAAAATTTGATTTCGAGCCTCCCTATGACCATATCGAAACAAGAGGGACGATGGGTGAATCGAAAATTGTGGACAAAATCAGACAAAGCCGCCACGGCCAAAATCCTAAAATTCCTTCGATGAGCCCCTTTCTATTTTCCGTTTCACACGATTTTTTGATCATTGTGTTCACCGTTTCTTCTATGCAAGTTAGCCGGAGAAGAATCCCCACACGCAAAAGAGAACCGGCAGAGCTGCCGCACCTGGAGACCCTCGCCGATAGGTTCGATTTTTTAATTCTTCTGACCAACCTATGTTTACTAACATATTTTTTCGCAAAGATGCATGTAAAGCCGGCCAAAACCGGACAAAATTGAATAGACCAAGGCAAACTGCCATTGTGGGCAGCAGAGCCATCACCGAAGCATGGCAGCGCCACCGTGTTAGAATCCTAAAATTGCTAGAAAGGATTTTCAACACCGATTTTGAATTTTTTAAGGTATTTTTATATATGTGACGAGTATTTTGAGTTCCCACATAAAAAGTTCAGAAAACTCGGGATCCATTGGGAGCCGTACTAGACAGTTCGACATTTCAAAATACCAATTCAGGTAGAAATCTCTCACCATATTCCCTTTTACGCCCTGCGTCATTAAATTTCATTAAATTTATATTTTCTTTAGGGGTTTCGCTAGAATGTCAGATATGCCTTGGTTGTATGTTTCCGCATTAAGGGAGCTACTCCTGAGTTTTCTAACGAATTTTAGTACTCTAGTTGATATGAAGGTCAAGACCAAAGCTCTCTCCCCGATAGCTTATTAGAGTATACCTCGGATATGTTATTTTTTTCTTGGGAATCTTAAAAATTATTTTTGTGTCAAAATCTTTTCCTCTTTACTTAATTGATTTACTATCTAATCAATTTATTCTTAGAAAAGTCAAATTGCTCTTCTAAATTTATCACAATCTAAATGATTTCTTAAGGGGACTACCTTACAAAAACAAAATGACTATTTCTTTGACTTTAGCATACATGTCAGGGCCTAGGACTTTCAACACAATAGCAGAAAAAATAACTTTTTCTAGTGATGTTATCAACCTTAGAAAGCTGGAGATTGACCAAAGTGCACTTTTAGAAAGGGGTAAAAATAAATCTGATTATGATGGGAAAGAGAAAATAGAACACATTCTAGTAAGACCCCTATATAATGTTAGAGACCCATAGACATAAGCTCCCTAGTTCACGAGTTGAAAATTTTAAAGGATCTATATTAAGTCATTCTCGAGGCAATTGATCCTGAGAAGTTTGAAAATAGACGAGGAACAACAAGTTTGAAAACCAATAATATTTTCCAAATTATTCATGTACTAATTTCCACAAAATAAGAAATTAGAATCTAAATAGTTCTATTTAGACATATGAATGCCATGAAAGACGTAAACATATTATGGCGTTAAGGTTACTTAGGTAATTAAGGATTTAATCTTATGGCTAATAGAGAATGTTGTTATACTACTAAAGGACTCTTTATGATGATAATCAAACAAAGGTATTAAATGAAGACTTAATAATTGATAATTGTATATTTTGTAAAAATTAAAAAAATCCATAACAATAATTACAGGTTACTAGTGGAGCCGAAAAACTGGTTAGTGTACGTTTGCCCTAAGCTTGTCTGTGTTACCTATTTATTTTTCTATACTGTATAAATTGTTTATTGTTCTCCCGTATGATTTAAATTATCATATTGAATCGCGTTCTCGTTATTGATTGTCTTATTATAATTCTTATTTGATTGACTAAGTTGAAAATAAAGGCAATGAGTACGTTTCTTGGTTATTAAGGTATAAAATTATATTGTTTGCATAAATATTGTTTAATTAATATATAATATAATATGAGAGGTTGGTATGCGCTTGATGTTTATTTTGTTGATGGAGATCTTTATAAAAAACGCTTACTGGGTATCTTACGAAAGGGTGGACGAGTCCGGTATATAGAGATCTCTACCGTGAATGTTAACTCAGTCGGACATGACTAGAAAGTCCCATACCGGAAGGGTTTGAGAGATATGGTTCACCTTCATATCGGATAGAGTATCAAAGCAAGGAAATGTTTTGCGCCTATTACTGGATGGGGTATGGGAATGGCCAGTTAATTGATAAATTTAGATATTTAGTTCACGCGTAGGGAGACATCCCTATGGACTCCCAGAGGTACCCCTAAGTAGGTAAGAAAGAAAAATTATCGTTTTTTATTCACTTATGTGTGAAATTAAAAAGTTGTATAGATATTGATGTTTATACATTTGATTTTTTTAAAAATTCGTAACAGTAAGTATGGAATAAACAGTTTCTTCATGATAAATGAATTTATTTAAATTAAGGACTCCATTAGTTGTTTTGTAATTTTTACCAATTTTTATTTTCTGTATTAGTTATTAGTGTGATATTCTTACTGAGATAGTGTAGCTCATTATTTTATTTACTATTTCAAATCAAGATGATCAAGATCCATATCTCGATCAGTAAGAAGGTTGTGAGTAGTTTACCTTTCGAACTCATTCAACAGCTAGTAGAAGTTAACCCCTATAATATTTATCTATTTATTTTAAGTTAATTATTTATTTCTTTTTACGAGCCATTGTAGTAATGACATTCTTGTGTCCTTTTTGAGTATTCTAATTTATTGTGTAAGGAATGTAAACCATAACATTATTATTTGCTTTCACATTTAAATTATAAATTCATTCACTTTAAAATTTCGAGCATTTACAAATATAATTGTTACTCATGATCAAACTAGCTTTAACTAACAATCCTCTTAATTTTAGTTTTTTTATTTCACTTATAAATCAAATTTACCAAAATAAATGCCATTAATTTTTTTTTTCCTAAAATCAATGTAGATTCTTGTAAACTTTGACAATGATTTTTTTTTTTTAGAATTATTAGATTTTACAGGTTTGTTTTACGATAACACAATTAATTAAATAAAAATATCAATCACTACTTAACTTAATTATTAATATATTTTTTATATAAAAAATTATGAGTTTAGATTAAATTGTATGAATGTGTGTTCTTGTTTAGAAATGTTTTATGTTCTATTATGATTATTGTTTATCATATTCAATTAGACTATCTGTTATTTTTTTAATACTTAACATTGTTAATATTTTATACTAGTTATTATATTAATACTTTAAATTCCACATAAATTATATTAATGTAAATATTTTGTTGAAATTTATAAAATAGATTTAATGAAGTATAAGTCTAATACATTTTATTTAGTAGAAAATAGATATTTACTATTTATTATTAGACAATCAATTACTTACAAGTTCTATATGAGACTATTATTTAATATTTTTAAATATAATAATTATTGAAATTAGAGAATTTATATGAACTGTTAATGACTATTATTATAGTAAAAAATTTAGCAAAATATCTTTAAGACATAAATTGAAAATTTATTTTATTGGATTGCCAATAAAGAAAAGTATCGTACGGTCACTGTAGATAATTCCATCGAAAACCTTCATTGTCCGCAATGCAGCTTTAACGCACAGAAACAAGTATTATCCAAACGTCACCGCATTTGTGACGAAAGCCAACGTTCAGCTGTTCCTTTCCAATGACGAAAATACCCCAACGTCCACGTCAAGGAAATCACTAAAAATGATGAGGACAATAACGTCATTTCATGAAAAGGATTTCACTAAAATGGGTTATGACCCAATATCAAGGTGTCTTCTCCTCACCCAACGGACAAACGCTTCCCCACCCAATCGCTCTAGTGCCCGCGTCCACGTTACCTGTCTGTCACTCTATAAAAATCACCCTCCTTTATTTCCTTCCCTTCCATACTAACTAAACCAGTAGGTAAATTAAAAAGAGAGATTCAAAAAAAAAAAAAAAAAAAAAAAAACATATGCATTTATACAGTTCTTTAATGGTTCTCTTAAAGCCTCTGTGCTTAGCCTACGCATCCAGGCCACACTGAGCTACGCTGAATTTTTACTGACCACTGCCTTAAATGGATCTGTGTGCGCACTGCGCACTCCACCACCTTTCTTTATAGCTTCCTCATTATAACTCTCCCCTCACTTTGTCTCCTTTCCCTCTCCTCTCTGCTTCCGTTTCACAAATCTTTATGTCATTACCCAAACGTTTGCTTTCCCTTCTACCCCCTTCGACCTCCGATCGGGTCCGCATTTCTCTCCGATCCGGACACCAACACTATCCAATCCGACTCCCTACCTCGCGCGCCAAGCTCAGGTTGCAGTCACGCATTTCCTTTCTTTATTTTTGTGTTTTTGTTGTTTTTTCAGTTTGATCGATGTTGCTGTGAGTGAAAAGGATGAATCCTCTGTGCTGCATTGCTCCGGTTTCTATCGATCGGGACCGAGCGAACCCAGTGGTCCCAAAATCGTCTGCTCAGTGTCAGTTAGGGCTTGAAACTCCTACAATCAAGCCGCCAGTCTCAAAGCCCAGCTTATTGTCAGCTCAGGTCTCGTCGGTCAGTCACGAGCAACTTGAGAGACTCTCCTCATCTACCATAAAGTCCGATGCAGACGACGCGAATCTCGAGGGCAGAGATTCTACCAAGGCGTACAGCGGAAACGGAGCCGGAGTGGCAGGGATTCTCTACAAGTGGGTGAATTACGGCAAAGGATGGAGGTCGAGGTGGTTCGAGCTCGAAGACGGAGTTCTTTCGTATTACAAGGTCCATGGACCCGATAAGATCCTGATGAGCCCCACCGTGGAGAAGAGCGTTAGGGTGATTGGCGAGGACTCGCTGCGTTATATGAAGAAGGCTAGCTGGAGCTGTAACAATCGACTAGGCGTCGCGGTTGTCAGGCAGTGCAAGCCCGTTGGTGAAATACATTTGAAGGTTTGCTTTGCTTCGTTTTTTTTTTTTAAATTTTTAAATCATGCACCCGCTAGATGTGTTTGCGTATATGCTCTGGCTTTGATTGCGTTTCGTTATTTGTTTGTTACTGTATAGATCTAGAGGCCGAAACCCTCCCCTGTTGACTTCTTAAGAAAATGTGTTGAGGTTGGTATTTATGCTATTATTAGTAAAGACGCAGAGCGTCTATAATAATATCTTGGGGGCTTATATTCTTATTCACGGCGCTTGAGAATGAAACACCTTTGTTTTATTTCTTTTTGCTTGTTTCTTTTTTGTATGGGACGGGGTTTATATCACTACAATATTGTTTAATATATGATGTTTTTGGCCCCTCTGTAAGTGATTTTTCATTTTCGTTCTTTTGCCAAGCGACAGACCAAGCAAGGTAAGTAGTAAAGCTAGAAAATATCAGATTAACCCATTTGAATATTTGACCTCACTTAAAGAATCTATGATAAGCCTGTTTGCGAGAACTTCATCCACTAGATACTTTGAGTCCTTGCTAGATGGACTTTTGTGCTGGTATTCCATTTTTTTTTTCAGTTATTTTTCTGCGCTAACAGAAACCAAGGAATTTGGAAGAGTAAACAACAATATCTAAATTGATATTGCTGCAACATAATTTCCATTTGTTTTATTGACTGAGATTAAACGGTTCAGGCATGCCCGTCATCCCTTGTACAACTTCAAAGAAATCTAGGCTACAGAGATGGTCAATGGACTCACTTTAGTAGAGAGTGATAATATCTTTTTACAAGCATCTAGAATGCCTGAAAAGTATAGGTAAACAAGTCTCCTGCTAATTTGCAGTTAATAAGAAATGAAACGTTAGATGCTCGCATTCATATGCATAAATGGCTTGTGCTTCATCAAAACATCATCAGATTAATTTAGCCTAGATATTTGTGCTTATGTTATTTTATTTTCAAGCAGTTTGAAATAATTTCTGGTAGCATGAGAAAAGTGTGTTTGTTCTCTGTTCCCCTAAGTAGCCTTGTGGATTTGGTTGGTCCACAGAATGCTGTAATCTTTTAGTGCATTTTGTAATGGAGATACTAATTATTTATTCTATTACTTATGGTAATGCATGCTTCTTCCTGATAAATGCATGCTCCCAACCTGCCTTCCATGTTTTCCTCACAGAATCCTAGAGTCATGCCTGAGTTTATTCAAAATGCCTGTTCAGGTTTCTTCAATTCGTACAAGCAAGTCCGATGATAAAAGGCTTACTATATTCACAGGAACAAAGACTCTTCATCTCCGATGTGTTTCAAGGGAGGACAGAGCTGCATGGATTGAGGCACTGCAGGCTGCTAAAGACCTCTTTCCTAGAGTATTGACAAGCAATGATTTTTCACCTTCCGAAGATGTCATCGTTTCAACAGAAAAGTTACGGGCACGATTAATTCAGGAAGGCATTGGTGAGGCAGCAATCAAAGACTGCGAGTCCCATATGCTTTTAGACTCTCTGAGCTGCAGAGCCAGTTGAAGGCTCTCAACGTAAGCATATATGCTACTAGATACATTGAGGCAACTAGAGGTATCTTCTTCCCTTTAGTTATCTTTTGCTTTATGATTTACTTGATAAACCAATTTAGTATTTACAAAAATTAAAATAATCTGTGTGATTTTTTGAGCATGAAGCTCGGTTGCTTTTGTTTTTTTCTTTCTTTTTTCTTTGCAATTTTTTAAAGTATAGCTTCAAATGTACCTGATTTTTGGCTTGAGGGATGCTATGTATTTATTTATGTTCATGCCCATCCATGTGACAACCAAATTGAAGTCAGTGCTGTGTGGGCCTTTTTTGTGAATATCAGATATTTGTTGCAACAACATCAAAAATATTGTAACAATTTTCTTCTGTTTATTGGCTGATTCTTGTTGAATGTAATAGGTTCATGTGAATATGCTAGTGTTTTGAAGCGTAAAATATATGGTGAAATTAAGTTCATTCACATTGGTTTAATTCATTATTTTGTCTTATACTCATCTGTATACTTGTTGATGAGTTTGTATCTTTAACTTCTCTTAACTTTTTTCATGGCTGAATCAACATATGGCCTGGACACTGTATGCTTTCTGTTATATAATTTCACATCCTATGCCGCATTTTTCTTTCATAAAATGGAAAGCTATGTTCTCTCAAAAATTTTAAAGAGAAGCATGGTGAGTTAATCTTTACAATATATTACACGAAATCAAACATTTAATATAAGTATGATATTTAATTTTCAAAATGTAAGTTTGATATCTTTTCATTATTGCACCTTCTATAAAAAAAATACTTTTCACTTCAAATTGAAGCTCTGTTATATCAAAATTAATATTGGCTGGGTCGGGGGAGTAAAAGTATGATGTTCTTTGAGTTCTCAAATAGAAAGCTAGATAATTATTAGTCTAGTGTCTATTGGGTCTCTAGAGTAATATTATTCATATCTGTTGAAGTACCCAAATTTTATAAACGCTTGATTCTCTTCAGGTGTTGCATTTTTTTTTTCTGTTTAATTTTTAGATGCTATAGTCTGGAGTATGCCTGCAAAATTCTCTTGATTATCTGACATATTCTGCGTTCTGCTGCAAGCTATGCTTGAAATATCATTGTTGATTCTTGTTGTTTGATAATTCTGTATCTTGATTTCATTATGTTACCGTAATTACACACACATATATATATAGAGTAGAGGCTTATAAGAGTTGTATCACCGTCTGCTAGGAAAGAAAGAGATTTACACTTGTTTTATGGAATCCTAGAACCAAATCTAGATCCTTATTATTCTGCTTATATAATTTAGGAAACAAGTCTTCCTAGATTCAGCTCTGTATAGAACTTCTACACTCCCTCTCAAGCATATATGTTAATCATGCCAAGCTTGGAACTCAGATTTTCGAAGTTTTTTTTCAGTAACAATTTTGTTAGAATGTCAGTTTGCTTGTTGACTTATAGGAATGTGTATCACATGAGTCATTTCTTGTCCTATTTTTTCCTTTATGAAGTGGTGGTCTATCTCAACATGTTTAGTGCGTTCATGATGAACCAGATTCTTTAAAGATGTGTTGAAGCCAAAAACCTTCATAAATTCCGAGAGTCATAGTTCTGAACTTGGCTTCTGTACTGCTTCTAGAAACCCTGGGTTGTTTTTTACTTTGCTATGTTACTAAATTTCTCATACATATGAGTAGTACCCAGATGTTGACTCTTGTCAGCTACTGACTCGCCCAAACAGCATCGGTTAATATTTTCACGTCCTTCCATGAGCAAGTATAATCCCTTAGCTGGAGTCATCTTTAGATATCTTAGGATTCGGTTGGCAGCTCCTAAAGGTTCATCGGTGGGATGATTTATAAACTGATTCACTACACTCAGAGCAAACCGTATGAGGTCTTATATGTGAGAGATAGATTAATTTCTCCATTAATCTTGGATATATCCCCTTATGCATTGGAGGACTTTCACCTAGTGTCCCAAATTTTATATTTTGCTCTATAGGAGTTGCTACAGGTTTACAGCTGAGCATTCCTATCTCTTTGAGCAAGTAAATGAGATATTTTCCCTGTGCGATTGTGATTCCCCTCTTAGACTTGGCCACTTCTATACCAAGGAAGTATTTCAATGGTCCCAAATATTTAGTCTTAAATTCCTTGGCCAAGATACATTTGAGCTTCTTAAGTTCAGCCTCATCGTCCCCAGTTAGGATTATATAATCCACATACACTATTAGTATGTGGAAATCCCATATGTTAAGGGATTATTATTTTTTTGAAATACAAAGTAAAGAGAATGTATTTACAAGGTACTAAGGGGGTACCATCAATGTAAGAAAGATTTACAAGTGTGTTAGTGTATCAATGACATTCCCAAATTCTTCCTCCCCATTGATGTTAGGACCCAACATAAAGGATCCATAGTATTGAAACCATGCATCCCTAATCTTAGGTATTTCAATCTCATTACCCTCAAAGCCCTACTATTTCTTTCTTTCCATAGACACCAAAAATAACTTAATGGAATAAATTTCTTTTGTTACATAACCGTTCCCAAACCCAACTCTCATCCCTCATTGTTCCTGCAATAACCCAATTAATCCTCATATGGCCATATACCATAGTCCGTAATTCATAAGTCATTGGGCATCATAGGAGAATATGATTACAAGATTCTGCAGTTTCCTTGCACAAGTAGCACCCATTCACCATAATTTTGCCTCTTGTCATCAACTTGTCAATCGTTAAAATGCATTCCCGGCTTATCTCCCAGGCCAATATGTTAAGGGATTATGATTGACATTTGATAACAGAAAATCATTATGGAAATCTCAGACACTATGGGGTTGTGATAGACATTCAATGGTAAAAAATGAGTGATTGATTTCACTGATTAATTATGTATATATTTTGTAACTAACTAGGTGAAGTCAATTACTTGTTTTTTTTCTTCTTTTTTTGGTAGACTCTTGCACTGTAAAATGGCGAAGAGTTGAACAATTATGCAATAATAGAAAAATTATAGATTTCAATTCTATTTCCATGATGTTAGAGTTGGGATTCATCTAACCCAACCCTTACCCTGTGTTTGGATCATGGTAAGTAGTAGAATTTTAATGTATGGTATTTTACGGGCGTGAGAAAACCGTGTTTGTTTGAACTTCCAATGGTAACAAATGGTATTTGACTGAAAAATTTTGCAATGAATTTTTAAATCACCAAATTGGTGGTATTTGATGGGCATTCTATTTGTTTCCCATTATAACCCCATCTAATTTAATTAATTCCATATATGACCTGACAATTAAAAATTTGTTAAATTAATATGATAATATAAATAATAATTATTTATTTTATTAAATATAAAATTTTAATTTAATTATGTATAATAATTATTTATTTAAATATAAATATAATTATATTGATAAATAATTTTTTTTTACATACTTCTTTTATATAATTTACTATTATATATAATATGTAGGAGTAAATTAGTAATTTAGCTAAAAATACAACCATACCATTCTATCATCCAAAGAAAAATATGTCATTAATATACATTAATATATCATCATCCAAATGTAAAAAATTTTTGTCATTACAATCTTATGTTATTGTCATTCAATACTACCATTACTATACATTAATTAACCATCACTGAAATTTATCCAAATAAAGCCTTAATGTCGGACATTATGGGGTTGTGATAGACATTCAATGCTAAAAAATGAGTGATTGATTTCACTGATTAATTATGTATATATTTTGTAATTAACTAGGTGAAGTCAATTACTTGATTTTTTTTCCTTTTTTTGGTAGACTCTTGCACTGTAAAATGGCAAAGAGTTGAACAATTCTGCAATAACAGAAAAATTATAGATTTCAATTCTATTTCCATGATGTTAGAGTTGGGATTCATCTAACCCAACACTTAATGTTAGAGACCGACAACAGAGGATCTATTACCTCTGAAGAAGAAGAGGTCTACTCCACCATGAATTCAAATGGGTAAAAAGACTCCTCATTCCAACTCACAATGGAGAAGTTGAATGGGAAAACTTCTGAGAGTAGGCACAATCAATTAAACTTGTAATTGATGGTAAAGGAAAATTGGGGTACCACAAAGGAGAAGTAAGTAAACCAGCCACCTCAAATTCAGCCACTATGTAAAAATGGAAGTTTGAAAGACCTACATGTTCCTACTGACAACCAAAGACATTTGGCATGCCGTGCGAGAAACCACCTCAATTAAACTTGTAATTAGTCTCCCACACTTAAGATAAAAAGGTTTCTCTTCCAACCTACTAACCTTCTTTCAAACCTTTCAACCACCGGATCTCATGTCCTCACATCTTCATAATTAACCTCTAAAAGGTAACCCCAGATACATGATCAATAATTCCACCATTTTACATCCAACGCACATGCCTGGTTGCATCTTCCCTATCGTTCAATCTCCCAAACTCAGATTTGGTTAAGTTGATATAAGACTTGAAACTGTTGAAAACTCAACAGAACACATTTGAGATTGAACATTACTTTCTCATTCAGTTTGTAGAACAGTATCAGATCGTCAGTAAAGAATAAATATGTGACCTTCTCCATATGTGAATCCCCTAAAGAATTCCAACTCTCTCACTCCTAACAACAAATTGTTCAGTGCTTCCATCACAACAATCAATGATTAGTAGAGAAAAGGGTGGATCACCCTGTATAAGCCCCCAGATGTCTTAAAGAAAGAAGACGAATCCCTATTCACCATAACTGCAAAAGATGTCATGGTAATATAGATGTTAATCCACTTCCGTCACATGTCTCCAGAGCTCATCATCCTCAGCATATAATCAACAAAGTTCCAATTTATGTTATCATAAGTCTTCTCCATATTTAACTTACAAAGAACCCCCTCCCTCCTTTGATGTAACAAATCATCTGCCACTTTGTTAGCCATAAGCACTGCATCCCATATTTGCCTGCCCTTGACAAGAGCATGTTGACACTCATCCATAACTTTACCCAACATCTTAGACATTCTGGAGAATCCCCATGCATCACTGTGAATTAGTGAGACTTGACTCTATAAGGTTGAGCTTGATAAAGATTATGAGTATGCTTTGCAAATTGGTATATTTCATATTGGAAATTCGTAAAATCTTTATTGATGAATAACTAGGGAACAAGTTTTTGTAGATAACTAATATTTTCCTGCCTTTTGTAAGAGGTAAATCCATATGGTTGTTCTTGGCTATAGTTGCTCTTGTTAGGATATAGAGGTCATGATACACCTTAGCATTGCTAATTGTCCTTGTCGAACTTAGTTCTTGAAATTCAACCAGGTTTAAATAAAATTTAACAACACAATTCAGCTTTTGAAAGAATTTACTAATAGATATTAAGTTGTAACTTAGATTAGGACCAAGAAGTACTGTATTCAATATTATATCCCTGGTTAGAGGTACTGAACCCTTTCCAAGAACTCGAGCTAAAGAACCATCTGCAATTTTTGTTGATGTGTTCATGGCAGGGATTATAAGTAGTGGAGATTCTAGAGTCACCAGTCACATGGTTTGATGCACCAGAATTTACTAACAGATAGTAAGTTGTAACTTAGATTAGGACCAAGAAGTACTGTATTCAATGTTATATCCCTGGTTAGAAGTACTGAACCCTCCAAGAACTCGAGCTAAAGAACCATCCGCAATTTTTGTTGATGTGTTCATGGCAGGGATTATAAGTAGTGGAGATTCTAGAGTCACCAGTCATGTGGTTTGATGCACCAGAATTTACTAACAGATAGTAAGTTGTAACTTAGATTAGGACCAAGAAGTACTGTATTCAATATTATATCCCTGGTTGGAGGTACTGAACCCTTTCCAAGAACTGTCACAGTAGAGTTGTTCCTTGTAGCTATCTTTCTTTTTGCTTCTTTAGTGTTCTGGTTCCTTGATATCTCCAATCTCCTGGTTTCCAATGGAGTTTCTAGCAAATTCCCGTGTGTCTGCCCTGGTTTTCGACATTGATCACACCAAAGTCTTCCTTTCTTCTATCATCTCTCCCTTGCTTATTCGACTGTTTTGGACAAGTGCAGGACTTTTAGATGTTTGTGGTGGACCGAGGTTTCCAAGCATTACTTTCTGCTTTCCTCCATGCACACCTCAGAGAACATGTCGTGGACACTGAGTATGGGTTTTGATACCAAGAATCCTCCCTTGGACATCATCAAGTTCTTTGTTGAGTCCAAGCAATAACTTAAATAGCCTTTTTCTTTCTACAACTTGTCTATACCATAGGCCATCTTTGGGACAGTTCGACTGATGTTCTTCGAATATGTTGAGCTGCTGCCAATTGTGGGTCAAGAGGTTGAAGTATTGGGTTATGTTGAGGTCCTTTGTCGCAAGTCATGAGTGTGCTCGCCACTGCAAACAACTCGGATGAGTTGTTTACTTTGGAGTAAATTTCTTCTGCTGTGTCTCAAATCTCCTTTGCCAATCCAAATAGAAGAAAGTTCTCCCTAATCTCGTTTGTCATTGAGTTGATGAGCCAGGACATCACCATATTGTTTTTGATTTTTCAAGCTCGATATTTTGGGTCTTCTTTTGGTGGAGGAACTGCAGCTCTAGTGAGGTAATTGTCCTTCAGCTTTCCATATATGAACATCATCACCGACTGTGATCACAGAAGGTAATTCTGGCCGTTTAGTTTATGTCTTGTGATGGACACCTCAAGGCTGTCTATTCCTCAGTTCCTATTGGAAAATTTTCAGGGAGGGACGCGACTTCAGATGTTGCGGTGTGCTGGTTGGTCATCCCATATGTTGTCATTTTTGTGATGGTTTAGTGATGATGATGGAGGTGGTTCAGAGGCGGCTTTGATACCATGTTGTTTGATAATTTTGTATCTTGATTTTATTAGATTACCAGAATTACACATATATATATCTACCAGAGGGTTGAAAGAGATCTACACTTATTTTATGGGATCCTAGAATCAAATCTAGATCCTTATTATTCGGCTCTTACAATCTAGGAAACATATCTTCTTAGAATCAGCTCTGTTTAGAACTTCTACAACTCTTAATATTCATGTTTTTATCACTGGCCCATTTGGATCACCTTATTTCTTCTAAGAGCATTAAGCCTTCAGCAATCGTTATTTTCATGTAGCTTTAAACTCTTTTGGTGTTTACATATGTCAACTTCGATCTAAGTTTAATTTTCAAATGAGTTGTTTTCAGTAAAAACGTTGCTTTAAGTCAAAAATTTTGTAAGATGACACTAAAGGTAAATTATAGTGAAAAAAGAACATTACTTGAGAATATTGTATTTTAAGAATATTTTTGTGACGACGAATGGTGAAGACAGTTTTGAACCACACCAGCTTAATCCCCCAAAAGAGATAATCTACCATCTTTTTATTTGTTCAAAGTTGCATAACTTTGTTTCAGGGCTTTGTCCCAATAATTTATAATATTCTTTTCCAGACAAAATAAGCTTTTTTAGTCAATACAATTCGTTTGGTCTGTCAGTTTATATATTGTTACATTAGTGTCCCCTTGGAATTTTTAGACCAATTTACTAATTCACATTTTTTTCTTTAAAATGGCGTTACAATGTTCCCTTTTCTTTTAAAATGGCGTTACAATGTTCTCGTTTCTTTTAAAATGGCTCATTCTGTTAGAGTTAATATATTTCTAGATGAATGTTCACTTGGAATTTTTAATCCATTTTACTAAATTATATATTTCTTTTTTCTGTTGAATAATCTTTTACTTTTCCCTTTCCTTTTAAATTGGCTCATTAGTGAGTTTATAACATTGCTTTGCAGACAGAGAAAATAGAGCTGGAAACTACTGTAGTTGATGAAACGAAGGAACGAGATTCGTATTGTGGCCAGGGGAATAGAAGATTTAGCGGTTAGTCATTTAATTGAACTTTTGCTGTTCTAAAATGGGCACACACAATGAAAATCAGTCTTTATTTCTTTCTTTATCTAATAATATTTCTCTTTCTATGAAATCAACACGATAAGAGTCGGTGAATCTTAGATAAAATATTCAAGTAGTACGTTCATGAATGGAATACTATTGAGAATTTATTTCAGAAAAAGAATATCTATTGAGAATTTATTTCAGAAAAAGAATATCTACTGAGAATGGATACTATCTGCAGAAGAAGTTACATATTAGACACTAATTACCATATCAATTTAGTTCCTTACTCTGGAAGAATGAAATGAGATCGCAGGACAAGCCTATTCTTTTGGGAAGTTGTGAAAATATTCTTAGAAAAATTTGTTAAAATTAGCTTACAATTTGCTGAATCTAGAAACTTACTACTTTTCTATCCTCATCTTCTCCACAGATTTTTATTCTGTCATGTCGGAGGGTAGTGCAAGTGATTCCGAAGCAGATAATGAAAGTCAAGAGGGGGTAGATGTTGAAACAGATGAAGATGCTGGAACATTTTTTGATACTAATGATTTCATGTCAGCAGATGCACTACGAAGTGCCTCCTATAGGAGCAGGGAAACTATGGGAAATGCTTGTGCCTTTGATAAGGATTCTTTTTCTTCCGATAATTTTCCTGGGGTTGAGAAAGAGATCAGAACAATTCAATATCCATATGTCAAAAGGAGGGACAATTTGCCAGAACCAAAGGAGAAAGAGAAGCCAGTAGGCTTATGGTCAATTATCAAGGATAATATTGGAAAGGATTTATCTGGTGTTTGTCTCCCTGTTTATTTTAATGAGCCACTCTCGTCACTGCAGAAATGCTTTGAGGATTTGGAGTATTCCTACTTGGTTGACCACGCATTGGAATGGGGAAAGCAGGTCAGCTCCTCAGCTCTGCTTTCTTTTGTGGCAAAGCAGTTTTAAAGCATGATCTGCTAGTTACATTTAGTCCAGGTAGTTGATGAGTTAGCTTTAGTTTCAAAGAACTAATAATTGACTGTCTTTACGTATGTTACTGCACCACATCTCATAACATTGGTGGTTTTCTCTATGTTTATCGTGCTCTCTACTTGAGTTAATGTACTTCTGTATTAAAGTTGTCTCCTTTTTTGCTAAGAAGTTATATTACCTAGGCTTGTAATTATGCTTCTCTTTTGTAACATCGTATCACGCATGTTTCAAACAGTCTTACAGGTTTTAATTTACAAGTGCTTTTCCTCTTTATATGCTTCAATTTCACAGTATTATATATTTTAGAAACTTGTGCCTAAGCTCATAGGATTATCCTTTCCCTCCCCATGATTACTACCATGTGCTTTTGAGGACTGACACTGTAGGTGCTTCATTCCCCTGTATAGTTTTCTTTTGAAAGTCATCCCCCTGTATGTTATACTCATTTTATTTAAGAGGAAATGCAAGAATGCAGTTACTTGATGAATGTACTCTTGGGACCAAATAATTGTATTTGGTCTAACTTTGGCTGACATGTGTGCCTATTCTTCTTTTGTTGCCACAAGAAAGTCTTTACTATTTTATTTTCAAAGTTCCATTGATGCAGGATGGGCTAGCTCTTGATTTATTTCCAATTTTATTTAGAAAATCTAGAACTAGCCCATTCTGCATCATCCATAAACGAGATCTACTCAACAAAAAACAACTGCCTGTGTTTGTGTTAAATACAGATTTTCCATGTTGCAGGGCAATGACTTGATGAGAATTCTAAATGTTGCAGCTTTTGCTGTATCTGGTTATGCATCAACAGAAGGTAGGCAATGTAAACCCTTCAATCCTCTCCTTGGAGAGACATATGAAGCTGACTATCCAGATAAAGGACTCCGTTTTTTCTCTGAAAAGGCAAGCTTCTCTTTTCCAATATGGTCTGAAGTTTGCCTTCTCTTGATATCTGTGTACTAAAATGGTTTCAAATGACTATGTTGATTAAAAGTCACCTCCTTGTTATGTCGTTGTTCATGAGATGCCCTAGTGATAAATTGCAAGACCTCTTCCATTTAGTTTGCAGTTGTCTGATCTAATGTTTTCATCCAGGTGAGTCATCATCCGACTATTGTTGCTTGTCATTGTGAGGGAAGAGGGTGGAAATTTTGGGCAGATTCGGATCTCAAAGGCAAGTTTTGGGGGCGCTCTATTCAGCTTGATCCTGTTGGTGTCCTAACTTTGCAGTTTGATGGTGGCGAAACTTTCCAGTGGAGCAAAGTTACCACTTCTATATACAATATCATACTTGGTAAAATATATTGTGATCATTATGGCACCATGCGCATCAAGGGAAGTGGAAGCTATTCCTGCAAACTCAAATTCAAGGAGCAATCCATCATAGACCGAAATCCCCATCAGGTATTTTTCTACCCTTGGACGACTAACCAAAAGATATATTCATTATCAACGTTAATTGTTGTGATTTTCCATTTTTGTTGATTGCTCTAGAAGTTCTCTCTTTTTTTTTACTTGAAAGTTTATCGATGGATGACTTCCCAGAAACAAGAATAACTTATTTCTCAAGGTATACTCCATGTTTTGCTGTTCTGTTGATTACCTTGTTCTTTTTGTTAAAATTTGAGGACATGTACCATGTGAAGGCAGTTGTTTCATGTGCTCCTTGATGCCATTCTTACAATAGATTGTGGGATTACTGTAGGCAAGTAGAATTTTTCAAAGCAGAAAAGTTTAAGTGTGACTCCTAATGGATTTGGAACTTTCTTTTAAGTTGTCTTCTAATGCTGATGTCATGTGGAGGTCGTTGTTCCCAAGGTCATCTGCCATTTTAATGTAGATAAAGCTGTGAGAGTCTACAATTTTCTGCAAATCTTTTTCAGGTTCATGGATTTGTACTAGACAATCGAACTGGAGAGAAGGTAGCTATGTTGGTGGGGAAGTGGGATGAAGCTATGTACTATGTACTGGGAGATCCAACCACAAAACCAAAGGGATATGATCCAATGAGTGAAGCTGTTTTGCTGTGGGAAAGAGACAAATCTGTTACAAAAACAAGATACAATCTCACTCCTTTTGCAATATCCTTGAATGAAATAACCGCTGGGTTACTGGAGAAATTGCCCCCAACAGACTCAAGGCTAAGGCCAGATCAGAGACACTTAGAGAATGGTGAATATGAGTTAGCAAATGCAGAGAAATTGAGACTGGAGCAGCTACAAAGACAGGTAAAAGATTCATGACTCTTTGTTTGTTTTCTTATCTATCAATGAGGTGATTGATGAATAGAGTCCAACAAAACCTGCCTGATTTGGCTGAATTCTGGGGGGTTACTTCATTATACAATCAGAGTATTTACTTTGTATAAATTACCGTAAATACTAACCCTTGTATGGGAAACTCTTTACATGTGTATCAGGCAAGGAATTTGCAGGAGAGGGGATGGAAGCCAAGATGGTTCCGGAAGGATGAGGATGGCTGCTACCAATATCTTGGTGGTTATTGGGAAGCAAGAGAAAAAGGAAAATGGGATGGCATTCCTAATATATTTGGTCAGAATGGCAGTTTGCCTTTGCATTTTGTGGAACAGTGAGCTGTCTTTTTTGCTTTAGCTTACCTGATATGTTTTGTTCACCATTTTATTTGCTTCCAGTTTGAAGTCTCCTACTTAGCTGCATTGAAGCTTGCAAATTAAAATGTGGATTAAATTATGGGAGCTTCTTTGGGGTGAAAATGCATCGAAATAGTTCTTTTTTCTTAGCTAAGCATGACTTTCTGGTCCGTCCTATGTTGTTGGCCTCCATTTCCATTTACTTTGATCATGAGCTCGAAAACATCACTTTCCTACACTTTTATCAAGCTAGGAAGATAATTTCTTACATTTGTAAACTTCATTGACTGGACTCATCATGAGAAAATTACCTCTAGTCGTGACCAAGCACTGCACATGTGACGACTTGCGACTCGTGACTAACATCAAGGACATAGCCTAAGTGACTTTTGACCCGAACAGTTCAAGTTTGGTCCTAGCCGCATTGGTCTCAATCGGCTGCATTAAGTGACTCATGACTAACATCAAGGACATATAGCCGGTAAGTGACTTTTGACCGGAACAGTTCAAGTTTGGTCCTAGCCGCATTAGTCTCAATCGGCTGCATTGATTGCCAGAAGTTTTGCATGCCACTACTTAAGTAATCATTCCGTTAAGATAATTATTTTTTTAAAAAATTTATAATTGCACCAGCCGCAAACAGTTCCATTTAAAAAAAAAAAAACTGTGACGTCTTTTATTTTGGCTTTTAATATCTCTGACTTTGTTCTCTTAATCACTCCATCTCCTGGATTTTAACACTTGTCCCTCTTCGTTGCTTCCCTCCCTGGCTCCATATTTTTTCGTGTCTTTTCTTATCCTATAGGTACACACGCACGCATGTATGTGTGTGTGCGTGTGTGTGTGTAATACTCATCAACATGGCCTGGTTTCGAGTCCAAAGGGGTTGTGGTGAAAATTTGATAAAGACAACTTTATCTATTTATTTTTGAACATTAGAAAAGTAAAAATTTAAAGATCACGTAGAAAAGTATATTTTTATAA